TGTCGTGAACGACAAGGCTACAAGGATATCGATCGCTCTATCTAATGGATCATCGCCTGACACTATCATCACACCATTGGAGCAGCTGGTGGATGGCAAGAACAGCTGAGCCATGCACATCGGGATGAAATACAAGGACTGCCTGGAACTTCAACAGAGAAGCATACTCAATGGGAAATCAGGCCTGGATGGGGTGGTTCATGCGCAGCCTGGACTGTCGGAACTTCAACAGAGCAACGTACTCTATGGGAAATTGGGCCTGGATGGGGTTCATGCGCAGCCTGAACTGTCGGAACTTCAACAGAGAAGCGTACTCTATGGGAAATCGGACCTAGATGGGGTTCATGCGCAGCTTGAACTGTCAGAACTTCAATTGAAAAGCGTACTCTATGGGAAATCGGGCCTAGATGGGGTTTTTGCGCAGCCTGAACTGTCGAAACTTCAACAGAGTAGCGTACTCTATGGGAAATTGGGCTTGGATGGGGTTTTAGTGTAGCCTGAACTGTCGGAACTTCAACAAAGTAGCATACTCTATGGGAAATCTGGCCTGGATGGGTTTTAGTGCAGCCTAAACTATTATACTAATGGATATGCAATCATGTTCTGCTTCCAGACTGTTTGGACTCTTCAAATTGCAACCTTATGGAACATTAATATTTTGTGATTCCAGGTGGAAGAACCATATAGCACTAATGTATTTAAGCTGGTCCTTTCTGTGATGTATCTTCTTGACAGAATAAATGGAAGTAAGAACACCATAAGTTTGTAGTTCTACAAATCATGATGGTTGGTCAGTATGAGCTAACAAATTTTTCTGTCTAGATTTTAATTGGAAATGACCACTTCGTTGGGCTAAAAATATCGGGCACTCAGCGCAAACAGAAGAACTTGTTTCTAGTATGATCTCCTCAACAAAAAAATTGACCTGTTTAGGCTGAGGAAATGCGATCTTGACCTCAAGCATAAAAACTACATAGGCATCTTGGGCGTATGTTTAGGATGATTCTAAAGCATTTGTTTCTTTTGGTTTCCACTGTTTGGATTAAAGCACCATACTGATTATATTGAATGATTAGTTCTCGAAGCAAATCAAGCATAATTCAGATATTTTACTCAAGAATTCACTATGTTCATCGCCTCTCGTAACCGCACGGATTTCGGCTGCGGCAGCTGTGCGTAATTCTCCTTGTCCCCGCAGAATCCACCGTACGCAGTGTCGGGAAACGACTTGCGGTCCCTCAACAAGAGTGGTGGAGGATGTGCCGCCCGCCTCGGCCGCAGATTCCTCGACCTCTGCGCAGCTTCGGCCTCCTCCGCCTTGCCGCTCTCGCCCACGTTGCCCCCGTCCGCGCAATCATGATATTCCCCTCCGGCGGTGGGAGCTGCTTGGAGAGCGCAGGTTGGCGGCCAGAGCTGCGAGGTGGCGGGGGAGAGTTGAGGAAGCCAGGGAGGGAGAATGTCATCATAGCTACACGACTGGGCCGACAGTTCGAGCGAGAATGTCGTCGAGAGAACATGCGAATGGAGGAGGTGAAGAAGAAGAAGAAGAAGAAGAAGAAGAAGAAGAAGAAGAAGAAGAAGAAGCAGAAGAAGAAGACGAGCTAATTATCCACTAAGACCATGGCGCATCAAGGTTTATAGCCTAGGCAAGGACGCATGGACGAGCATGAGCATTCCCAATTTCACGTGGACAATTCGCGAAAATTTGCGGGCATTTGTTAACGGGTCCGCGCACTGGCTCAATGCGCCCACAGAAGACGTGCCTTACGACTCAATCGTGGCCTTCGGTATGGAGAAGGAATCATTCGGAGAAGTCATCGAGCTGCCTCAATTGGAAAATCTATCGCAATTCTCTCTGAATCCGAGAGGCAAAGAGACACTCTCAGTGTCATGCGGTTCACTGGCTTAGTTGCTTTCGGTGTATGGAACCAAGAGGAATGTGGAATTTGGGTGATGAAGGAGTACGGCGTGGCCGAGTCCTGGACCAAGCAGCATCACATTGTGCTACCGATCGGGTCTGAGTGGCCTTGGGACTTACCAGGCATGGCAAGATGTTGCTTTGCATGGTCGATGAGAAGTTGGTGTGTTGTGTTGTGGAGGATATGCAGATCAGTGAGGTTGGAATCTAGGGAGGCGGCCCTGAGTCATCTTTTGATGTCATTGATTTGGGCGGAGGAGATCCTGCTCTCAGGAACCAAGTGGGTCGTGGTTCAGCGTTGACCATGCTCAACCTCCAATAAGAATTAGGTTGCAGAACAGTTACATAAATTTACATATGCTACCTATCTATCAGCATCAGGGGAAAAATGATATTACTATTGCCATAACTTTCGTACGGTACTTATTTGAGTATCATAACTTTTTTTTCGGTCACTTGAGTGCCATAATTTATGTACGGTGCTAACTTGAGTGTCATAACTTTTTTTCTGATCACTTAGTTCCATATAACTTTTCAATCAAAAACGTTCATAGCAAGTGCTATGCCAGGTCAGATTTCCGGCACTTGAATGAACGTTTTAAAATTTTTTTGGCACTTAAGTGATCGATTAAGAGTTATGGCATGCAAGTGGATGTTTTTCAGAAATTGTGGCACTTAAGTGATCAAAAAAGAAAAGTTATGACATTCAAGCGAGCGCCGTACGAAAGTTATGGCACTTGCGATGCCCTTACCTCTACAATCGGGTTAGAGGTTGAAATGTGATTGTCGTTTTCAGTAAACGACAGTCTCGTCACACTAGCCGTTCTACACATAGTATATCGAAAAGAGAGATTACTTTAGACATTTACCAAAATTTATCTATGAAATCACTTTTAATTTCTATCTCAGGTTTGTGCGCTGCGTATAGGAAAGTATATTTGTGACATCCGAAGATGGACCTTCAATTTATTTAATTCTTGTTCTAAAAAATTACACCTGGTCTGTAATCTCTGGTTTCACTTTTCATGGTCAAGTCTGAGATTGTTTCGAAATTCTCTTTCACTGTCTCAATACTAATGCCTGAAAGAAAAACAACAGATAGAATTGAGAAGATGGAAAATTGAAATGTGGAAATGCGACGTGCTCTTCGGGGAAACTCGAGGATCGTCTCCCTGTGGGGATGGGAATTTGACAGGGGCAATCGTGAGAATTAGAATGCATAATTTTATCACGGTGACATAGACCGGATTGAGATAATATCTTAGAATTGAAGAAAAATCCGATTTCCTTAAGTAGCTTGAACTGTATGAGCTTCAAGGGGAGAGTGACGGATTTCGGATGTCGGACGTGTTATAAAAATTGCCGTGGAACGCTAACGGATCTTGCAATTAAATTAATGCGAAATCACCAAAGAGAGATAAACGAGAAACAATAAGGACACCAGAGATTTACGTGTTTCGGTTCGAATGTCGGTACCTACTCCACAGGAATGGCTAGCAGTAAATAATCCACTATAATTAGAAAATCAAGGTTACAATTGCTCATACGTTCAAGTGTTTCCCACACATAGATTATACTCAACCGACTCAAGCACATAGTGTTTACAAATAAACAACTCAATTGGATGTAAGACTCACATCACGTGATTCCGTATGTTCACCTCCTCTGCACGTCCATAATAAAAGCTCTTCCTTTATTTCCTTTTGTGCACAGCTCCAAGGAGTTCTCTGTGCTACTCTTGTTTGAGTCCACTATGCGGCTTAAAAAGGGAAAATATGTGCAGCCAAAAATCATACATTCACGTGACGTGCACCGCAGGTTTTTGCAAGAATTGCAGTTCTAGGTCAACCGGTCAATCTTCAATATTATCTCCAAGAAACAAACCTCACGTGAATATGATTTGCCTCCAAGAAATTTCTAATTTAAATAGGAAAGTGATTTGTTTGGGATTTCTTTTCTTTTCTACGAGATTCCGTTTAACAAACTGATTTCATCCTCCAATCGGATCGGTTCTGCAGTCGGCTCAAAATCGAGACATAGATTAACATAATGCATATGTTCGAGAGTCTGAATTGCAGCATATATGTTTGGAACACATTGACGAAAAAGGCATCAAGGTTTTGAGTGAAATGAATCAACTGTGAGGTTATGTGGCCAAGAAATTGAATATATGCAAGTGCTGTGATTTAGGCAAACGGCAAAAAGTGCGCTTAAGTGCAAGTATCAGAGAAACCATGGAGATTGCGGAGTTGATTCACTTGAGTGTCCGTAGGCTGTCTTGAAGCAACCCTCATTACGTCAAAAACAACTTGGTGAATCGAAGTCCAATGTCTTCAGGTTCATTGCAATATCAACAAGGATAGCTCCATTCTCATTCCCTTGATGATAGTGAAATGTTTAGGCCAACCTAGTGCTTGCAGTGGGTTGTGCCCATTGACTACAGTGGAGAGTAGGTCGAAGTCAATCTCATTCCCACCCAATTCCTACTTCTCTTTGTATTTTCCAACACCTCTGTCCTGTGTTAGCTTTCAGTTCTTATTATATGAGAACCTTTCATTCCGGGAAGTCAATTTCTTTTCTTTCCGGGCTTTGCTAGCATAACAGTTTTTTGGCTACTGTTAGAATAACAGCATGTTGCGAGCTCAAACCAGACTGTTATTCTCATAGTAAACTAAGAACAATTACATAAGCATTTCTCTTTCCGTTTCCCCTGTTTTAGGTGCATCTGAGCTTGTTGATGTCACCATAATGCAGGCTGTCATTCGAAGGACATGGTTATTTTGGCATTGTAGAATAGAAGAATCATCACTGTACAGTCTTTGATAGAGCAATTTTATAGTACTGATTACGATCTCACTTGTAGTTATGGCCACTTTTTACCTAATGTATAATTTCGTTGATTCGAGCTGAATCAGACATTGAAACTTTGAGGATTCTTCTAAAAATGCGAGTTTACTTTATTAAGCTCAGGTATTCAAGGGTTTCTTTGCTAGAAAATCATAACAAAAAAAGACCCTGAAATTTTCCCTCTTTTGTGGTACATGTACACACTTTTCGCTTTCTGACCCGAATCCAGAAAAAATTGGAAGAACAAAAGGTGCAATCTTTCACATGTCCCTGTAACGTCTTGCAATTCCAGATTAAGAGATGACTCTTAGTACAAATGCCATGATCTTCTCGTATCCATATGGTATCCATATAAACATAATTGAAATTACAGATATATTATCGAGGCAGTAACTGTGAAATAGTTATTTCGTTCACCGAAAATTTTTTATGCTTGCCGTCGCTTGAAGAACTTGCTTCGGACAAAGACGTCTCGTTGAAAAATCCAGGCTGTTTAGGCTGAGGCAATGTGCTGTCACTGCCCAACATCATAACCACAGACGACATCTCCGGTCTATTGCGCGGATTTTTTTGAACACACAACAAAGCCACATGGATGGATCGTAAAACTTCCGCAGGGTTGAATGTGGATGCAACCGATGGATCTACGAGCTCCATAGACTTTTGATCTCTTAACAGTGTCCAGGCCTGCATGATTGTGCCAGTCACCTAGAATAAGACTAGAAACCAACTGAAGATAAATAAACAAAGAGATCTGATAAATTTTTACGACTTACATATCCGAGAAGGCTTAAACGGTTTTCAGGATGATTGAAGCCTCGATTTCTTTTCCCACTCACGATTTCCAGTACTACAACACCAAAACTGAAGACATCTGATTTTATCGAATAAAAACCGTGGATGGCATACTCTGGGGACATGTAACCGCTAGGCAAAAAAGTCATTGAACGGAAAGATTAGTTCTTGAAGCAAATGGACCAAAATCAGTGGAGATCATTTGTCAGGAGTACTCACAATGTTCCCACCACTCTATTCGTATTCGCTTCACTTTCATTACCTCCGAAACTCCTTGCCAAACCAAAGTCTGATATCTTTGCACTCATCTCGATGTCGAGCAGGATGTTTTCAACTTTTAGATCTCTATGAATTATTCGTAATCTTGAGTCTCGGTGAAGGTATAGGAGCCCCGAAGCAATGCCATTGATGATGGCGAAGCGCTTGGGCCAATCCAGTGAAACACCCTCCTCTTGGTCTGCCAAATTACAGGCCTTATAAGTTATGAAATATAAGCTTCTGCACACATTTTCTAAGAAAAAAGCGATGAAATTGTAGGGACTTGAGGGAAGCGAACTGGAAATGAAAAAATCCAAGCTCCGGTTAGGCAAGAACTCATAGATCAACATCTTTTCATCTTCTTCAATGCAGCATCCAAGAATCTTGACCAGGTTTCGGTGTTGAAGTTTGGCGATGTAGACAACTTCGTTCTTGAACTCGACCTGTCCCTGCCTAGAATTTTCTGACAGCCTCTTCACAGCAATCTCTTGGCCATTCTTCAGAACACCCTAATAGATAAAGGTTTTTTTTCATTCATTCATTTCGTTGTGCATTTGGATGTGTAAGCACATTTAGAATTCAAAAAAATTGACAATGGTAACCTTATAGACAGCTCCAAAGCCTCCCTCTCCGAGTTTGTTGTCATTGGAGAAGTTATTCGTCGCATTTACAATCGTTGCGAGGTCGAACAGAGGTAACTCTGGATCTTCACTATGGCTTTGACGGGAGAATGCAAAGGTTTTTCCTGCAAGTTGAAATTAAATTGAGTAAATTTCAAATCCTAAAAAAGATGATCTGACGAAATTTGCAATTGATGTGGCGCAGCAACATTTAAAACCTATGGTGACAAGAGTAAAAATTGACTCATGTGGATCAAGATGAACATTTTGCTTGGAAAGCATAGTTATCTGATAAAAACGACTTTACCATCTCTCTTATACTTCATGTAATAAACCGTGATACCAAGAAGAAACACTCCGGAGAGCACAATGCTGACAATGATGCCCGTGCTTTTCTTTGCGCCAGTATTCCCACTCGAACTACCACCTTGATATACATCACAATGAATCCAAAAATAAAATTTACAAAAATTATCAAAATTATGCTCGAGCTAATCTCTTCCTTATGTCACCACGTCGAAAGTAACTCATGTTTGAACACGTACCGACTTCTGACGCGGCCATCCTTACATAAATGTCCTGGCCGTTCTCGTTGAACTGTCTAATATCAATCAGGTTGCCAAACCAGAGCAAGCATCCACTTCCTTGACCTCTAATATCTGAGTTCGAATAAGCTGTGCACGAGCAGTTCATCAAGCAAGTCCTCTCGCAATCTTGAAGGTTCATGCTCTCGTTGAACCATGAAAGCCTTGTGTCGGGCAATTTCACTTCGGTGTGCTTCAGAAACTTATCTCCTCCCTGGCAAACCAGTTCTGTCCTACGGACACACCCATTTGACCAATCCCCAAATCCCCAGTCTATCGGGTATTTGGGAACGAACCCTTTCAAGCACACACATTTTGGATAGCTGGCCATGTTACAATTCCCATTCGCTCCACAGAATGCATAAGTGTCACAGTCATCAGTTTGTGTGGGCGTATACAGTTTCCAACCATGTGTCTGGCCTATCCTAGTGAAGCGCTGAGCAATCCCGTTCTCCTTTAAAACCAACATCGATGTGATGGAGCTGTTCAGAATGTTGAAGTAATAGTAGATTTCATTTTGGTTGAAGACGAAGCCGAACATATAAACCGGATTCGGCTTCAACTGAGGGACCCCGCTAAACCGAATGCCATTCCAAGGTCCCGACCGGAACTGCACTACCGATCTGTTCCTCAGGATCAGCTGTGGATAACCCGAAGAATCGAGCCTATATGTGAAATCACCAGGTGAAGGGTCGTCCACGCTTTTCCACGAGGTCAAGTACCGGTCCAGGCCTTTCGCTCGATCTATACCAAACTTCATGCCAGCCAGAAACGAATTACAAGGGTGATCAAAACTCTGCCAGATTGCATCATCCAAGTCATTGACGTTTCCTTCTTTTACAACGAAATTGGCGGAATCCAAAAGCTGCGCAATCGGATTCTGGGCCGATCTCGACACATTGGAGGACCAAACGACACCATCGGTGCGGTTCAGGAGAGTCAGTACACCCTGAGGAGTGAGCTTCAGGACTCCTGAAGAGTCATTCAGGGGATTCTCTCGGTTTGCGACCCAAACTACCCTCTCGGCCGATATCTTATTGTACCATATGCCCACGTAACGGTTCTTGGAGCTGCCAGGGCTGAAGAATCCTAGCTCAAAGTTCCCACCAGCTGAGACTATCGTTTGGCCGTCTGTGATGTTCTGGCCAGCTGAAATGGAGTCCAACGCATAGCTTATCTGCAACACGAGGGACAGGAAGCACAAGCTGTGTAGAAGAAACGGATGGCATGATTCCATAGATGTTCAGCTGATACAGTACTAAACTGACTTCTGATTCATGAGGAAATTAAAGAGGAGAGGAAACTTGGCTGGTTAATCATCTGTCTGTTTTTGTCGCTCCATGAAACAGGAATTAGCCACAATGTTGGTCCTGGACCGCGTAAAAATCATAATTAAATGATGTGCAAGAGCAAGAGTTGATGAAATTAGAACTTAGAGTTTACTATTGATAAAGCACAATACAAACGACGTTTTCAAGCTCGGTGTCATGCGGAAACTTTATCACGCATTGCTCAGATGGAAGACAATTGCGCGAAGAAGACTCAATTCCGTGTTCACGACGGCGAGAACAGCAGACAAGTGATTGGCTTCTAATGTGACATCAATAAATCTATTCCGGGAGCTTAAGATGTTGGACTTTAAAGTTAATGATTTCTGTAGAGATGAGTTTGTGGTGGGTTTGTTTTGTAAGTTGACCCCATTATCCCAACAATTAATACTAATTCTGTTAATCATAATGTAACTTCTTCGTGCTCATGGTGCAATCTGTACGTTGGCCTTTTGAAACCCGCTAAAGGAAAGTTGTCGTTTTACAAGATGCCGGTTCCCATCTGTCAGAATCGGGTTAGAGGTTGAAACGCGGCTGTCGTTTTCAGTAAATGACCGTCCCGTTACACTAGCCGTGCTACACATAATTTATTGAAAAAAAGATTACTATAGACATTTACCAAAATTTATCTATTAAATCACTTTTAATTTCTTTCTCAGGTACGTGCGTTGCGTTTAGGACAGTAATGGATTGTGAAGAAACAGACATATTTGTGACATCCGAAGACGGACCTTCGATTTATTTAATCCTTGTTCTAAAGGATTACACTTGGGCTGTAATCTCCGTTGTCACTTTATATGGTTAAGTCTGAGATTGTTTCCAAATTCTCTTTCACTGTTTTAATACTGATGCCTGAAAGAAAACAACAGACTGGAATTGCGAGGATAGAAAAGTAACATGTGGACATGGACGTGCTCTTCAGGGAAACGCAACGATCGTCTCCCTGTGGGGATGGGAACCCGATAGGAGCAATTGCTTGGTGGAGCAATTGTTAGAAATATAATGCATAATGTAATGTCAACGTCAGACATAGACTGGAGTGAGATATTGTTCCAGAATTAAAGAAAAACACGATTTTCTTGAGTACCCTGAATTCAGTTGGGTGTTAGTATACTTTAGAATATAGTATTCTAAAGGTCATTTGAGGTGCCCTTTTCAGTGAAACCAGTTCCTCACATAATTTATTGAAAAAAATATTGCTATTCTTTTGACGTATGGCAGAGGGAGAAATTACCAAAAAAATCCTAAAGCTACTGCACTTATACCAATTCAGTCCACCTTTCAATTGTTCCGATTTAGTCATAAACCTTTTGACGATTTGTCAATTTATGGCTGGCAGTCGGCTAACGTGGACAATTTTCAATATTTTTTTTAATTTTCTGAATTTTTAATTTTTTTTCTTCTTTTCTTTTTTCATTTTTTTTCTAACCATGGGACGGCAACCCTCATTGGCCACGATTGAGGGCGTCGGGCCCTCACCCATTGGTCAGTGAGGGCATCATAGCCCTCACCTCGATCTGGGCGAGGGCATCGGCCTCGCCTATGGGTGGCCAGCGATGGCCGCAATGCCCTTGCCTAGACCATGCAAGGGTTGCCGGTCCTCGCCTATGGTGGGTGTCCTCGTTGGCCTAGGGTTTGGAAAAACAAAAAGAAAAGAAAAGAAGAAAAGAAGAATAAAAGAGTAAAAAAAATTTTAAAAAATTATAAAATTGTCCACGTCGGGTGTAACATCCACGATTATGGCCATGAGGAATGGCCATGGAACTGGTGTGCCGATAGCGGGGGAAATCGGCCATAGTCCAATCCAAGGAACGGTCATAGACCGATCAACCCGACCGGAAGGGTAACTAATGAATCAACCATGGTCTGATCGAAGGATCGGCCTTGGAATGATCGAGGGATCGGAAGTGAACTGACCTAATGACCACGCAAGTGACCTGAGCTATTCGGCCATGGAACGGCTGCTCGACCAAAAGGGTTGGTTGTGGGATGGTCACGTACCACCGCGGATCGATGGACGATCATAGATCGATCCCGCGCAGTCCTGTTCTGGTTACGAGTGATTCCGCACAGTCATGTATCGACCGCGAACAACCATGGATTGATCCGTGTGACCGTATGTCAATCACTAAACAATCGATCATATACAACTACATGACAACCGAGAGTCGGCCACGGACCAAGTATGCTTGGCCATGGACCGGTCATGAACCGGGCATGGGCCACTTAGGATGGGTCACAGATCGGTCATGGATCAGTCACGGATTGGCTCGACGACCCTGCCATTAGGCCATGCGCCAGGTCGTGAGCCTGGTTTTATGCCAAGCCATGAGCCAGCCATATGCCAAAACTTGGACCCTGCCGTAAGGCCACGAGTTAGGACAGGCATGGGCCATGCGCCCGGTCAGCTTGACAGTGTGCCCGGCCAATGCTTGCCACGGAGCCCACACGACGGGCCACCGACTTAGCCAATCTAGGCAAGTTTGGCCATGACCCGCTTCATCTGATGGTGATTTGGTTACGAACCTCGGTTTGGTTGGCATGGTCGATCGTGGATGAACATGAGAAACTCATACCAGATCAAGTTAGCGCTTCCATTAGCCTAATTCTCATGTTTGCTATAACCTTTGAAAAGAGACATAATAGAAGACTCTAGAACATGGGCCAGTAAATGCAAGGGATGAATCATCATCTTATGTGGCCTTATGAAGATTTGGTAATGATGGCTTAAGATTTGGCTTAGAGAAGAAGTAAGTGACTCATGGCTTAAGTATACCAATTAGAATGGCACACATTAGCCTTCCATCATTCCCCTAAAAACTTAGGCATGCCACCTCCTCCTTATAGACATGCCACTCATCCAATAGCCTTGCCATCTCATCCTTGTAGGCATGCCACTTCAAGAAAACCTACTGGACCATTTGGACAAGTAATGATGGGGATGAAGCCTATAAATAGAAGCACCCCCTATTTCATTTTCACCCCTTTGGCTCACTTTCTCACCTTCACCCCCTTTGCACACGCATCTCCTCCTTTTCGGCCATTTCTTGGCAAGCCCTTTCTAGTTCATCTCTATGTAAGTGAAATTACTAATCCTTAGCTAGGGCAATATGCTGCGTTGTTGAATTTGGACGTGTGCTCACCCGTACTTTGTCATGTGTATGATGTTCTTTTCTACGATTTGATCATGTGGCATGTTTGAGTGCGTTCACGCCTCGAGACAAGGTCGAGGTTCGCTTGGCTTGGAATCAACGTTAAGGCGAGATAAACCAAGCCGCAAGGCCTTGGTAGGCATTGAGGCGTGCCGATTCCAAGTCTTGCTCGGTGCAGGGATCGGTGCTAGGCATTCGGTTCATGCCACGAATCAAGGATTGTTCCCAGCATACCATGTAGTGAGGGTCATCACACACACACACACTTGTTTGAGCACGCCCACGGGCATTGTGTATGTATTGGCTAAAAAACAAAATTAAGAATTCGGCTTGTGTGAATTCTTGTTGTGTGGTTACATAAAGGAAATAGCTGTCGCCAATGGATTTTGGGACGTTGCTCGGTGGATTCCAAATGCCCAGCTTGAAGTTGGAAGCCCCTGAGAGTATAGGATGCCTAGTGGATTCCGGATGCCCAGCCTGAGGCTAGAAGCCCCTAAAAGTATGGGAAGAATCGTGTAAGACGGTTAATGGACCTTTGATGCACGTTGATGAGTGTTGTTATTAAGTTTATGGATAAGCCGAAAGTAAATTGTGCCTTGATGCTAAGCCGGAATTGATCACATGCATATAGTCGAGGTTCAGCAATAGTATTGCTATAGATTTGCCATCGATGCTGTGGTGCAAGTGATGTTCGCGTGCTAGGTTTGACAACGAGACGTCTTCCTAACTCAGGATTAGTGATTTTATTTACTGAGTCATCGACTCACTCCGTTGTCTTTTCAGACTTGTAGGTATGAACGTCTCACCTCTTCTTCGTCATGGTGTATCAATTTTTGAGCTGCAGCCTTGCTAGAGGAGATAGGAATCCCCCGGCCTATGTTTTTGAATAAGAGGATAATGTAAACAAAAAGTTCCCGTAGAAAAAGGGGCTTGTAAATGTACTGAGGCAATATGGAAGTAGTGTGTTTTGCATGGAATTTTCCTGGCGGCTTGTTTGTTGTGTTGTTTGGGAGTTTGTTTGTACACGTTTTCCGCATGTGCATATTAACGAGAGAAAAGAAACGGGATGGTGACAAGCCTGAGGCGTCGAAACAATAACCCCCGAAGTGAGGTCCCTTACATCACAGCCAGCTATGCCACGTAGGACGGCCGGTGCTGACTAGACATCCACATTAGCGATTCCTAGTTACAATTGAAATTTAAAATTTATTCCACTGACAGAAGGATTTGGGTTTTACCTGAGATAGACAGTATAACTCAACTTCTATGATGTCTTTTCAAGGTTCGTGAGCATATCTTTGGGTAACTTTTATATTTTTCAAAGAGTGGAATCTAACAATTCATCTCATTGAACTCTTCTCCTTCAACCACACTATAGTCCATCAAAGTCACATTTGATTATAGAGAAAGCAACTCGAATTAAACCCCTACATTCAATTAAAGGTTAATACCATATTTTTCAAAGAGTGGAATCTAACAATTCATCTTATTGAACTCATCTCCTTCAACCACACTATAGTCCATCAAAGTCACATTTGATTATAGAGAAAGCAACTCGAATTAAACCCCTACATTCAATTAAGGGTTAATACCATATTTTTCAAGGAGTGGAATCTAACAATTCATCTCATTGAACTCCTCTCCTTCAACCACACTATAGTCCATCAAAGTTGCATTTAATGATAGAGAAAGCAACTCGAATTAAACCCCTACATTCAATTAAGGGTTAATACCAAGAAAACCCCAAACTGGTACACTTATGACAAATTTATCCCAAACTAATTTTTTTATCACAAAAAATCCCAAAAGAGTATATATGTATATATGTAACAATTTTATCCCAAACTAATTTGTTGACTACCAAAAACTCCAACTAATATATTTGTGACAAATTTACTCTCTGTTAAATTGGAAAAGTACCACAAAAAACCTTAAATAGGT